AAATTTGGAATAAATTTATGACTCATATTGGCTGAAAATTTGGTAGAGGAGATGAAATATTCTTTTGATATGATAAATGATCTCCCCTACCTGACCCTTTTGTTAGGCATGCTTTCACCAATGCTAATTCTATTTTTCATGCCAGAGTTTGATCTCTTAAGCCGCTACCTCCACTCTAATGTGATTGAACATATTGCTCTTGTTCAACCTCTTAACCCTCAAGATGATAATGATGTTATTTGTTAGAGATCTTCCTCTGATGGCAACTTCTCCATCAGATCTGCTTACAAAACTATGGAGAACCAAAAGGACTAAAACCACTTTGAAATTTGGTCTAAAATTTGAAAGTGGCCTGCATACGAAAAAAATTAAATACTTCTTTAAAAAGATACTTGGGATTGGTTACAAACCAACTACATGCATAGTAACAGAAATTCTCCCCAGTAGTGTACTTGCCTTTTTTATTGTAACTCCCTTAACTCTTCATATCTTATTGGACTGTAAAGAAGCCTGTGATGTTTGAAAAGAAATTAGTCAATCCTACCAAGCTTAATACTTTCTTCTCTTTCGTGTGTAGGAATCGTTGACTTGGAATGCTAAAAATAAAGCTGGTAGCATGAGCTTAAGAAGAACACCTTGATAAAAACTTTTTGCCCTTGCATGTTGGAACATAGGGAAGATAAGATGAAGGAAAATCTACTTAAACGATGACATTCTAGAAAATGATATTACCTTCTCTTGTACTCATCAGATAATCAACAATCTAAAACTTCAATTTAAAATCAACCACCTCAACAAAAGTGATGCTAGATATGAAACTAAATGGAGCCCTCCAGCATTTGGATGGGTTAGACTTGACATTGATGGCTCTGTCAACATCAATGGTGTTGATGCTTATAGAGGTATTATCGAGGATGAAAAGGGTAATTGGATTAAGAGATTTTCAAAGTACTTGGGTTATTACCCTTGCACAGTAGCTAAGCTCATGGAAATTTTTGAAGGTTTTAATCTTTGTTAGAATGCTAAACTTTATAAAGTCAATGTCTACTCCAATTCAATGGAAGCCTTATTACTCATCGAGTATAACTACTTTGAAAGACACCGATTCTCTAAAATTATCAAGAAAATCAAAGATCTTACTTTAGAGAACTGAATGATCACTTTTGATCATATTTATAAATAAGTTAACAAATGTGCTGACCTGCTTGCCCTATCAGTCATCTTGGAATAATTTTGACACTATGATTCTTGATAATCCCCAGCCTAAATGTAGAAATCTTATAGTTTTAAATATGACTTGATGAAACAGTTATGCTTTGGCCTTATATTAAAAGAAATATTTAATGAACTTACTTGCTGGAAATGCTCTTATCTCCAACAAATCTTAATTCCAAAGTCACAGCTTGGCGGAGATTGTCACTATAATTATTTCAATAGTTGGGCTCAGAAAGCGCTCCAAAATTGAAGGTGGCGCTTCAGTATTGTATTGATCAGATTAAGGTGTACTCCTTTTGATTTTAATATAAGTTAATTTCGGGCTTATTAAAAAAAAGCAGTAGTTGTATTGTTAAAATTATTTTCAAAAAATATGTAACATTAAAATTTTGTCATTCTTTGTAAATAATAATAATAATAATAAAATTGTTATCTGTAAATTTAAACGATAATAAATAAATAAATAAAAAGGTAAAATTGAAAAAATATATTAATTATTCTAGCTTTGCCTTACATTGAGAAAAAAAAATTAAAATTTATGAGGGAGTAGATTAGGAGGGGAAAAAAAGCTAATTAATTTGATTATGGAAGAACAGGCCATAAAAAAAAAAAAAGGAAAAGATGTTACAAAAGGGACACTGTTATTAGGCAGAAAATTACAGAAACGTAGCCTCGGTAGAGTTTAAAACCTCAAGATGTAGAAACGTTAACTTGGCCTCCTCGTCCTTTCGTTAACGATGGTCTTGATGCCTTCCTCAGGCTTCGTGATGCTGTGCTTGTTCCTTCTCCATATTCTCTTCTTTCCAGACCAAGGCACTTAGAAATTGCCTTCACCAATTGTTCCATGAAATAGCACGGCTTGTATAAATTCAGAGCCTTTTCTCTTTCCCTCTCCATAGCTTTTTTCTTTTCAAAATGCCATTTAACTGCTTCCTCTTTCTTTTGCTTAAAGAGTGGCTATTGACATGCCAGATGCCACTTCATGCTTCAACTTTGAAACGTGTCACCACGACACAATTAGATACGCCTGCCACTGCCACTACGCATACCTTCAGTCGTGTCTTGCTTTGGTGCTTTCTGTCACTAATTCGAGAGCTTGGAATTGGCATGCTCACCTTATAGTGTGCGTGTAATAAATGAATCTGTGGTTATAAATGTTTTTAAAATCAGACGAAATATTAGATTGGAAAAGTTAGTAGTTTATAATTTGTATGGTCTATCGTAAAATTAGTGATATAATAATTAAAATAAAAAAATTTATATGTATATAAAATTTACTTGTAAAAAATAAATATGAAACTATTATTTAACATAAAAATAAAATCAAATATTTTAATTTTAATATGACTTAACAAGTTAAATAATATAACATAATATTAAATAATTAAAAAAATTAATTGTTTTTTAAAAAAATTTAAAAAAAATGTATTTTTTAAACAGTTCAGTTTTTAAAAATTAAATCCAATTTTTGATTTGATTGTCGATCCAACTCAATCTAACCTAATTTTTTAAACAATTTTTTCACTTTGACCAAACTGTTAGCCGAATCAATCGACTGTCCAATCGATCCAATTGCCCGATCCAATTTTTTAATCATTGGTTTGTACCGTTGTTGAAGCAGGCGGTGACTTGCAAATTGCACTTTCTAATATTCCGTCAGGACTGGAAGCAAAACTGGGGATAATTTTCAGCAATGAACCCTGGAAGGTTTGATTTCAAATCAGGACTATTATAATTGGAAAATGCACTACAGGACCCAAGAATAAAATTGAAAATACGTTTTAATAGAAATTGACCTGAATGTCTTTTTATTTTTAACACATTAAGTTAGGATTTTAGCAAGTGCATTTCATATTTTAACTAGTCAACAAGATTGAATATATGAAAAATATTGTTAACAAGTTCCCTTTATAAATTTACAAGTAAAATTATTGAAATGATTTATATTAGGGCGTCAACATGTACAAGTCAACAAGATTGAATATGTAAAAAATAATGTTAACAAGTTCCCCTAATGAATTTACAAGTACACACTGCTGAAGTGATAAGTTATGTTAATGTGTTATTAACAAGTACAAGCCAACAAGAGTGAGAATGTAAAATATTTTGTTAACAAATTTTGCAAGTGAATTAGCAAATACATATTAATGAAATGACAAGTTAAATTAAATTTTAACAAGTCCATTTTATATTTTAAAAATTAAAAGACATTTTAGTCATTTCCTATCAAAATATGTTTTCAATTCAATCTCTTGTTATATGTTTGATTTTTTGTTAGTAAAAAGTTAGTTTGTCAAAAGTTCATTTAGCAAAATTTAATTGAGTAAAAATTAGTTATTGTAATAAAATTTGTGTTTAGATACATTTTTTTAAAAGTAAATTTGATAAACTGAAAGTTATTTAAAGGGAGAATGATAGAGAGGTTCTAAAATGATCAATTAATTTAAGTTAGGTCTTAAGTGCCAAATTTCAAGAATTTACAACTTAATTTCTCAATTTTGTAACTCTATTGTCATGAATTTAAAACTTATATTTCAAATTTTAACAAGAATTTTTTTTAATTCTTCAACCATATCAAAATTTGGAGAAAAGTTGTAAATTCATCACAACGCAATTACAAAATTGAGATATTAAATTGTAAATTTCTAAAGTTTGGCACTTAAAATCTAACTTAAATTAATTGATCTTTTTAGGACCTCTTTGTTATTCTCGTTATTTAAATTATGTATAATAAAAAGTGATTTTGAATATACAATTACTAAAAAAATGACAATGATTTTTATTATTTGTAATTTCTATCATACAAATGCCACATATATCAGAAATGTTTGAAAAATATATGTAATGAAAATTTTAAATAACATAAAATTTAACATGTTAAATAATAAGGATAAAAAATATATAATTTAATATATTAGAAAAAATTATATGAATAATTCAATATACATTAATATTAAAAATCAACATGATTAACTGTGTAGTCTATAATGTCTTGTTACAACTTATTTTTGAAAAAAAAATGAAGAACCTAACTATTAATAATATGATCTGTCAAAAACTTGCCTACAATTTCTTAATTTCTTTTTATATAAAAATCATGGGCAGTATGGCATGTCAAAAATTAGGGAAAACTATGTTCAAAAACTCCCCCGTGTTTGGTTAAGGAAAACAAGTTAGAAAAACAACTTTCGCTATGGTCTTGCAGAGTAATTTTTTTTTTTTTAAATTCTACTAGTTCTAATTTAAAATTAAACCCCGACATGTCATTCACTAAAATTCTCCCGCTTGAAAGAAGTTTTAAATGTCAAGTATATCGCTCTTTGGTTCAAAAAATATATCAAGTATATCGCTTGTGGAATCATGTGGAAGATAATGTAATATAATAATAATAAAATAATAGTTAAAATATACATTTAATTTTTTAATTTTATACAGTATTTTATTTTAATTTCTTAACTTTATAAAATATATTTTTTAATTTTAATATTGTTAGTTTCATCCGAAAAAATTTTTACATTAACCTTTTAACATTAACAAAATATTTTTAAATATTAACATATTAAGTTTATTTTTTTCAAAATATAAATGATTGATATAAAAAATAATTATTTAAAACTAATGATGTTAGAGTTAAAGAACTAAAAATACTTTATAAAATTAAAAAATTAAATTAAAATTTTATATAAAGATAAAAAACTAAAAATATACTTTAATCTCAAATAATAATAAATACAGAGATAGACTAGTCAGGCGACCATATTAGGTTTATAACTCCTTTCTACACATAGTTAGAGGGCCTGTTAAGATAAAACAATTAAGAATTGTACACAAGCTCCAATATTTTCGTAAATTTTGTCTCTTACATTCATTCAATTGTCAGTTTATCCTGCCGAAAATTCACCGTCCTTTAATTGAGAGAGGGGAGGCGGGGAGCCCCAATATCCTGAGCACCAATATGTTGAATATCATAACACCAGTCCAACCCTTGCTTTTTATCAAAAGTCTAACCTCTGTTCTTCAGATTCTTGCCATGGCCTTAAATCATGATGAGAGCGTGAGACCATAAATGGGAAATTCGGAACGGAGCAGGAGTAGGAAGATTAGACAGGGCACAAAATAAAATTGATGCTAATCAAGTTGCTAAATTTCTGGGATGATTCAATGATGACAACATATAAAAGTGAAAATCAGCTTCGTTTTGGTTTTCTGCGTTTTTGGGTAGGAGGGCTATCAGATGTAGGGTCAAGACCCATACATTTGAGAAAGGCAACCCTAGCTAACTGGAAAAAATGGCATGGGTGGAAACTGGACGAACCCTCCCTCTCTGCAAATTCTTCTCCGCTCACTATCCTTCTGGTTGTTCCTGCTGATACCTCACCTTTTATACTTCGATTTTCTCCCCCCTGCAAGAAGTTTCTACCTCATCAGTACATCACAATTCTGTCACTTTCATTACAAGGACGAGCCATTCGTGCATGTATTAGTTTATCTGCATGTTTAGTAGATAGAAAAGTGTTTTCTAAAAAAGAAATAGGACATGTATCAAAGAAAATGCATAATAGTAAGAATCATAGACATGGTTTCCCTGGCTCTCTTGAATTTCTTTTACAGGCAACTAGCATTAAGGGTTGAGGGCTTGATCATTTATCAATGACCAAATAATTTTAAGCTAGGAAAGTTCATTAATGAACGAGAACATAATTGCAACGTGCAATGTTTTTGGAATCCCACGCACCACCACAACTTAGCCTTAGCTGCCAATCTGTAAGCCAGCAAGGAAAGAAAACCTATCCGTCCCAAAATGATGCTGGCACAATTATGATGCGAGACTGAGTCAAAACCAGAAGGAATATTATATAGTTCAGATTATGGATCTCATCCATCTGAGCACCACAGCTCTTTAATTTTTTTTTTTTTCAATAGAATAATTCTAAATGGATGGTAAACGCTTCATGAGCACAGGCAGACAGGATCAATGAAATGACAAAACATTTCGGATCTTTTAGTCCATAGCAAAACTCCATTTCCACAGGATCAATCTCCAATGTACTTTCTCAGTTTTCTACTGTGCCTCTAATATTAGCAAATCTCAGCCATTTTAAGCCAATCCAGGGCAGCTACGAAATTCGTCGGAAGAAAGATAACAGTAACAAAAAGTTTTGGGGGGGCATTAGAAGCCAATGGACAGTTTATACTTGTATAGGTCTCGGTTAAATTGAATTGTATCTAAAAATTGTCGATAGAATTTCAATGTACCCTTGAAAACACTTCTTAGGTTAGCATCATCCCTACCCACATTTTTCTCCGCCTAATTAGGGATACGTTATCCAGAATAAACACTAACTTTCCTCATTTTCGATGTCCCAAAATTAGAAAACACCCAAACATGATGTTGCAGAATGATAAATAAGAACATTAGAGGCCCCTATTTGAATGGAGTGGACTACTTCAAGGTTGGTGATGACTTTATCCTCTATGTCCAACTCAAATACTAGTTATCAGGCTAAAGATAAAACCTGAATGAAGAATTAGCTGAGCAAGGACTATTAAATCTTCTAATTATTGCCGGAGATAAACACCAAGCGGTTCTGTCTCTTGAAATGAGAGAAAGTCAAGATTTCAATACCATCAAATTTCTTCGTTTCCACGCTCATTAGGTATTAAGAACATAAGAATATCAACAACAAAAGAAAAGGTTTATCTTCCTCCTCCATAGATCGAGACACCAATGTCAAGAGAGAGAAAGAGAGAGGAGAGAAGATGAAAAAATCTACGCCAAGCCAAAAGACTGCGATTTCCGTAATTAGGCGAAAACCAAGAAATACACCAAGTTTCTGATTCAAGATCATAGTCCCAAATTGTGTTTGTGTGTATGTGTAAAGAAGAACGAAAGAAGGAAAGAAAATTTTGGTACCGGTGTATTCTGTCTGCGGTTGATTACGAAGGTAGTGGCCGCGGAATCGTGCTTAACAGCAGCACTAGGTTTATCTGCCGGTCGAATATCATCGAAAAGTAAGCGACTGGTAGATGCAGATTCAGTAGTGGTGGGACCCTCGGTGGCTGCGATGGTGGAGGCATCGTCGGAGGAATCCAAAGCGAAGACGGTGAAGCAATAAAGAAGAGCGATGAGGAGAAACAGAACGACCAGCTGAATCCAAATCAGCCATGGAATCCCAGAGCTATCAAAAGCGAACACGTCCCCAGGATCGAACATATTATTGACAATAACCAGGGGGCATAGTGATTTAGATAGCAAATTTATGAAGAGAGAGAAGAACGTGGATTCGTTTGGTGTCGAAGTTGAGCTTTGAATTGAAGTAAACTTCAACACGGGACGGGAGAGTGATGGGAAGGGATTCCCTGGGTCACTGGCACAAAAATGGTGGATATCTTCAGCCATTTCTATGAGAAATTCAGGGTGGATCTTCACGCGCTTCCTTGAGCGCGTACTTGCACTCGCTTCAAATTTTGGCCGATCCTTTTCAACTAATTGACATGCCAAGGAAGGTACTGGACAGTGGACGCCCTCCTTCCTTGCCTTTCTTGTTTCTTTTCTTTTCTTGTTAAAATGATGTCTATGTTTTCCCCCCACGAAAAAAATAAAATAAAACCTCTATTACTGAAGCATTGAGATTAATGGACTTGATTTTAAATTTTTTATTTAAATAGTATAAAAATTAAAAAAAAAAGAGAAACAGGCCAAGATTCCAAATAAAAATAAAATATTATAAATAATAAGTGCATCTTTATTTTTCAATTAGTGAGATAATAATGAAAGGCAAGAGTAACATAGATATCAATAGTAAAAAAAAACGGACAGTAAAAAATAACTGGTACTTGAAATAATTACAATAAAAATTTTGAAATATAAAAGAAATTATAATAAAACAAAAATTAATATAAATTCATAGACTTTTATCTACAGAATTTGGTTCGAATACAAATTCAAATCTCATTAATCTAAACACCAACATAGAAATATTTAGTTCATACGCATAATGAAATATGGTAAAACTGAGTTTTTCTTTTTTTCAAATACAAAGTTTTCAAGAGTTAATTTTTATTGTATGTCCAACACAATAAGCCAACAGGTTCATTTTTATTGTGCATGCAGTAAAATTAGCTGTTTTTTTTTATTTTGTAGCATAAATACTTTACAACATTAATTGCAGATTACCACCATTGCGTTTAAAAGCGTTTACATAATGTTGGGATAACGTTTTATATGGTACTAGTTGGTTTTGTAAATTATCTTATGGCCTTCTTTTAATCATATTTTTCAAACAACAAATAATTTCAATATAATTATGATAAATACAATTGTCAGACTCAGAACGCAGTTTCGACGCGAAAAAAGGTGAACTGATAAGGATTGAATTGATTTGATAATTTGAAGTGTTTACAAGATGAAAATGAAATTAAAATGTATTTTAATGAGATTAATTTACATCTTTAACAGGAAACATACTTTGTACCGAATGATTGAACCAATTTGCCAATTTCTACATAAAATATTGACCTGTTTTGACTGTATATGGATGGCATGACATCCGACAATTATTTGATGGAAAAATTGGGTTTCATTGGCATAAGAATAAAATTAAGTAGAATTATTAATACAATATAAATTAATTTTAATAATTAAAATAATACATTTGTATATATTTAAATAAAAAATAAATTAGATAAATACTCAACTAAAAGAGGTTAAAAATAAAAAATCGTTAATTAGGTTAAAATAAATTAGATAAAAACCAATTTGAAATAGAAATGGAGAGTTATATTATATTAACTTAAGAAATGAAACTAAAATCCAAAATAAAATCATAATTTTCTAATCTTGAATAAAATTCAGAAGACGAAAATATTTCATTCTTATCCCTTTATGATAAAATATAAATTAATTTAATAATTAAAATAATACATTTTTATATATTTAAATAAAAATAAATTAGATAAATACTCAACTAAAAGCGATTTAAAAACAAAATCTTTAATTAGGTTAAAATAAATTAGATAAAAACCAATTTAAAATAGAAATGGAGAGTTACCATTATATTAACTTAAGAAATGGAAGGAAAATTCAAAATGAAATCATAATTTTTCTAATCATGAATATAATTCAGAAGATGAAAATATTTCATTCTTATCCCTTATGTAAAATAGTTATAGTAATACTCTTTTTTAGTAATACTCTTTTCAGTGCTATTTTTAAAGTAAAAGTAGAATAATTTGACTGGCTTATTTATGTCATTATTTTTTATCATAAATTTCATTTTTTACTCTATTAAATTCTGGTGAGATAAAATAAAATATATTATTAAAACATGAATATTTAGGTAAAACTGAAAAAATTTTAAATTTGAAGGGTTAATAAATTTTAAAATTTTTTTATTTTTGATAAAACATATTACAAGTAATTTACAAATAGGACTAAAAGAAGTAACTTATTACTTAAATAAATTAAACTTTTTTATTGACATTTATTTTTTTATTCTTATTAACATTGTTTTAATCAAATACGTTTATTATACAAATTAAATCACAAAAACGTTTTGCATAAAATGTGAATGGAAATTCCTTTTAGGGTTTGCATTTTCATTTTCTTTAGCCAAGTACAACTATTTTAGAGGGTAAAAAAACCATTTTAAATGCCAGTGCATTGAATTTTTTTTTTTTTTTTTTTTTGGGCCGAAGCCAGTGCATTGACTTAAACGAGACAAGAGTTAAAATGCGCGACTGTTTGCCACGCGCGATGCCTCTCGGCCAAATGGTGGGTGGCGGACCGTGTATTGCGATTTCAGTGCTAGCAAGAGACAGTAAGTCGGATATTTTGTAGTTCTACGACAAAATTATGTTTAGAGAAATTATTGTGGCTATAATAATACAAAGTTTCTTCCTTTTCTCATATTCGTAATAAAATTCATTTTACAAAGACAACAAAAAATGCTTACAAAATATCAGCAAAATTTGGTGTATTTAATAATAATTTGATTTATAACTCGTAAAATTATGAGTCAAATCCTACAAACTCTACTGATATAAGTGATTTGTAAATAGTAAGTATTTGGAAACATAGTCTGATTTTAATGAGTTACCAAACTTAATTCATCAAAAATTTTTTAATAAAAAAAATACTTACAGAATACATTCAACATGTGAGGCTGAGATTTGACTCCGATACTAAAACCCTCATCTTCTTGAACATGTTAAAAATGACAAATATGTAATCGAAAAGGCCACGAAGATTTTCTCAACAACCAGTAAAATCTCAGTGCATTATGCGGAGATTAATTTTTTCCCAGACTAAAAGTCAATCTAGAAGCAGTAAAGAAAAAGTTAATCCAAGCACACTAATTAAAAAAATGAAATATTCTGACTACTCTTCTGTTTAATTATATAAACCTCTTCTCTATTTTTTTTTAATAAAAAACTAAATATCTATTATGAAAACATTAACTGAGAGGATACCCCTCTAGTTCAAAAACATGCAATTTAGTTAAATATGTTAATTTCATTGGAGATATTCTAAAAATATTTTAAAGCTTATTTTTAAAATTAAAATTTATATTAAAACACATTTACTTATTATTTTACCTTTTACCCTAATAAATCCTTAAATTATACTCAATTCTTTTCAAATTATAAAATACTTCTGCAAGAGATTCAAAGTCTCAAAACATTAAAACACTTTGATAAAAATAAAGTTTCATTAATAATATTTTCTCATATATTCTCTCTCTTTAATATTATTAATAAATAGAGTATTAAATAAAGGATATTTTTACAAGTTTGTATTTTTATTTTAAAAAAGTAAGATTATAAAGTATATTTGATGAGTTTTATTAATATTTATAATTTTGTTTAAAAAAATCAATTACCAGATAATATAATTAATTACCCAAGGTTTTGATCGAATAAGAAATCATTGTTGCTCGACCTAGTTGTATTTTTTAGGGATTCTATCTATCGCTATAGGATTTAGGCAAACTAAAGAGTGCATAACATTGTTGGCAAAAAATTTCACATAAATATAGTTTAAATATACTGCTTCATGCTTAATTAATTCTTATTGTGTTTTCAGTTTTTAGTGTGCAATGATGTTTTCCTTCTCCCGAAAACAATATATTTCTTTTTCTCTTGAAATCAATTCTGATTTGTCAAACAATTAGTATATGTTATTTTGTTAGCTTTTGTCTGCCTAAGTAATTCATACGTTGTCTTAATGTGTGGATTAAAGTATAGAAGTAGTATGATTTATTTTTGAAAAATCTGATACAAATATACACATACCTAAATCTGATTTTATTTTTATTTTAACTTGAAAATTTCTATTCAATGTAGGATAATATAACTTCTGAAGATATTGATAATTGGGATAAAAATGAAACTCCTATTAATAAATTTTTTTATGGGTATTCAATAGAATTATGATGATGATCATGAAGTGGAAGACAGTAAAGAGAGTGATCAGATTGTTGATGATTATACTCTAAATATTGGAGAGAGTGATATTGATGGTGTTGAAAATTTGTTAAGAATGTCAAGGGAAAAGGATTTGAGTATGATGTTAATGACACAAGTATCTAGAAAAAGATTTTGTGTTTATCAATGTGAATGATTTTAGGAGTATTTTGAGGGATTATGTGATTCAAGAAAAATTTTGACATTAATTTGAGTAGTAAAAAATGAGAAAGCAAGAGCGACTGCTATTTATATTTATATGGTTGTCTTGGAGAATTCATATTCGTAACTTTTATAATAAAGACATATGAACCTAGGCATGCTTGTATTATGCTAACTGATCAAACATAAGCCAAATCTACCTGAATAGCAAATAAATCAAAAGGATCTTTAATATAATCCCAATATGAGCTCTGAATTAATGGATAATTAATAGACCACCAAATACAGAATTTAGGCTTATCAATGCAACCATACAAGGCAAGAAAAAAACAAAAAGGAAGAGTCTCATGCTGCAAGTTACAAGAAGATATAAAATATCAAAATTTTAAAAATCGAGTCATTGAATTGAACGAAATGTTAATTTAAGGGTAATGGTTTGATTGATTAGTAGTCGAACGTATTATAATTAATTTAATTTTATATAGATTAATATATTATCATATATAATAACACAAAATAAATTCATCCACAAAATTATAAAAACTAATATAAAAATTTAAATAAAGAAAATTTGTAAGTTATCTATAAATTTATATCTTAATATTCATAAGAATAATATTGTAATATAATCTATTTTATTCACTTCATTTTTAAAAAAATAAATGACATTTAATATGATTTTTTACTCCCCAAAAAACAATTATTATTGTATTATGTGAATTTTGTATCAAAATTTTTGCATAAATAAATATTTATACTCCCCTCTCATTTCAAATTCTTCCGCCGCTT